CTGCTTTGTGTATTCTGGCACAGTCATCGTTGGCCTTGGCAAAAGCTGCCGTTCTCTTCTCTTGCTCTGCCATGGCTGCTGTCTGGCACGCGATCTTCTGGTCCTTCTCGTCCATCTTCTGTGCCAGCTCTCTCTTGTAAGCTTTTTTGAGCTCATCCTCTTTCTCTCCCCCCGCCACCCCTTTGAACTCAGGACGGCTCCGTGAGGACCTCGAGCTAGTGGTCACGGACAAAAAGAGCGGCGAGGTGCTAAAACACGGGGAGCCCATCGGGCCATCCTGCCGCGCTTGCATAGTTGTGGTTCCGACAGCGTCGTAGAAACGCAAACAAAACCCGTCTCTAGATGCCGGACCAGGAAGCACCCGGAAATGCAAGTGATACTCGTCCGCGACAACTCGGGAAGTGACCCTGAGCAGCAGCCCCGGGTGCACTACACGAGCCTTGCTGAATGCCGATTTGCAGTCTCCTCGCTCAGGTGGTATTCTCCGGAAGAATCCAGCGAGGAATCAAAGTCGCGCCCTCAGCGAGAGACCTAGCTTGTGCACCGAACGGCGGAAGCAGACATGGTCCGGATAAGGTTGGAAGCACCCGTCTGTCCCTCAGATTGTACACGGCATCCAGCCCGAACAACCTGATGTAACCCTGACAGGACAGGACGGCGCCAGCCCGCACGTCCCAAGCGGACTGAGCCGGCAAGACACGCGGCAAGCGATGCGCAGACCCCGCGAAAAATGATTCGGACCGAAGTCGAGAGCTTTTGTTTCGCGTCTAAGGCATAGGAAACGCAGCAACAGAGCAACATCCGAAAGACAACAAAAGCAAAACCAACACTCAAGCAACCCGAGGGCACAAAGCCGAACTAGAGGTAATCCAAGCAGGAACTGCAAGACAAAGGCTATCCTACCGCGTCCATCAAAACAAAGTGCCCAGGGTTGCAACCAAGTAGTTTGTTTCGAGAACTTCCACGCTAAGCCGGCAAACTGCTCAGCAACAGCGCCTATAAATTCCTTGGGTAGGGAACAGCTCCGGCGCCTTTCCAAGGAAAGGTCGAGTTGTCAGAGCAACTCGCAAGTCTGGAGCCAAGCCCTTTAGGCTCTGAGCGTCAGGGAAGAAAGCAGCAATGAGGAGAACGGTTTTGGTGCGGGTATTAAAAAGAGGTGCGGTAAGGGTTCCTTTAAGGGTGAACAAGGAAAGCAGAAGGGTCTTTGGGTTTGTGATGGTTTGAGCTTTATCGGGCTTGGGGTTAGGAGCTCAAGAAGGGATCCATAGAAGTTCTGTAAGAGGTCTATATTGGGCTTCGAGGGATTAGGTCATGGTTTTGGGTTGAGTTTTGCATTTAGGGTCTCTGCTGGGGTTGGTAAGGGGTTTTGTGCCGGTTCCAAACCGGGTCTGATTAGGGGTGTCCTGGGTTTTTAACAGCGGGCAGAGGGAAAAAGGGGCTTTCTGTGCAGAGTTCTGCAAGTTTTGATGGTTTGGGGGGCGAGGTTGAGCGCGTGGGGCTGCGAGTGTCGGAATTCTGCCAGTATGGCTAAACAGTTCACAGTTCAGGGAACAGTGCAGAAATTTCCGCACCATGTCGCATACATTGGGGCCAAGACAATTACCATCGCTGGTTTGTGGTTGCTTATCATACTTATAGTAGAATATTTCCTAAAGCCTCCTTCTTGGCAAATGTCAATTCGCAAGCTTTGCGCATTATGCCTGCAGTTTTTGTGATGCAGTCGGCATGTGGGAAGGCATTCTGCATGAATACTCTTTTAAAGGTGACCTTATTATAAGACCCCATAGTACCCGTCAAAGGGGACCCTACAGTAGAACCTAACAAGACCCTTTATCAGCAAACTGGCCGGTCGCTAGGTTTAGAAGAAAATGCGAGTCGATACCTTGGATACAGCAAGTTCGTCCGCTCAAAGATACTGCTGCATATAATCGCATCTCCGAGTAAATGTTTTGTTTTACTCAAGCTTCTGTTGAAAATTAATGACTTTGTCCGCACTTTAGAATAGAAATGCTTCGCCGTCCAAACATGGACCCTTGAAAAATTCGAGGCACACCAAAATTCGAGTTGCCAAGCTCGATCAGCCAGTAGAAGACACTACCAGAATTAATGTCTTGAAAACAATTTCCGCACACGCCTGCTTGAGCCTTACTGGGCTCCGGGTTAAGCTTGTGCATGCCGGAAAAAGCTACTTAACTTGTCCACTGCGCCGCGGGACCTCACACGTAGATGTCCTCACCCCTGTCGCTTGACACTTGGTCGGCGAATTCAATGTTCGATGTTACGACGTCTTGATGGCATGATTTCAACGCTCAGTTAAACGCTTCGCTGAAAGGCCGAGCGTTTAGGAGATGCATAGCATCAGACTTCCCGCGACCACCCCACAACCCCTATTCCAATGTTTGAGGCCCCAATATTAGCAGAACTCCTGCCTTGGGTGGCGCAAGGAGTCCGAAGCGGTTTGTGTTACTCCTAATCCCATCCTCCCAAACGTTCAGAATGAAGAGAAGCAGGCACCCTAACCCTTTGGGGGCATAGGTTTTTGGGGTATAGAGTGTAGGTATATAGAGTGAAAGGGAGGATCCTCGCCAAAGGAACCGCCACCTCTGGCTTTCACAAACTCCATGACCGCTGAAACAAAACCATACCAAGGCTCGATAAGCCCATACACTAAAAGCTTTACGGTAACATACAAGCCCTACAAACAAGCCCTGTGCAGCCCTCAGAGCAACCTCCTAATTCTCGCCCGGAGGACGCCTCCTGCAGGCGGAACAGAGCCTCACTGAGGCAAAAGGGGGGATCGGAAGAGCTAGTAATAATAGTATTCACTTATCGTCCCCAAAGAAGATGGCATAATTCAGCTAATTATCTTGCCTAAAGGATCAGAGAAGCTACTAGGTAGGGATATGAGCAAGGTAATTGTCGTTATACAAGTTATATATCGACAATAAGTTATATGACGACAATTGCATTCTGATAGGGATCTCAAAAACATGTTTGCGTACCGTCTCTGGGGGATGAAGATACCTACTGTTAATGATATAAGTCCTGCATTACCTTAAGGACCCTAAACTATGGGAAGTATGGTATATTCCTTCTTATGGGTAATGCAGGATTTATATCATCAGCCGCAGCATATGNNGGGGGGGGGGGCCCTTGCATTGCTCAGTTAAGGGGTTTTGGAGTCTTTGGAGAGGGGACGGCTGGAACTGCGTTAAGGTGCTTAATGTTTAAGTTTCGGGTTTGAGGTTTTAGGGGTGGGGGTTTTAGTAAAGGGATGAGGCGGCTGGTTAGTTGTAAGGGGTTTTTGTTCGGTCACCATGGGCTGCTTTTGCTTCATTGCCAGCCAAACTCTCATGTTGTGGTTGTTGAGTTGCTCTCCAAGTTGCCAAGTTATGTTTTTTTAGAACGACTGTTTGTGAGCATATGGGGTTAATTGATTGTTTTGCTGCGGGTGTACAGCATCTTATGTGTTCTGACTACAGGGGTCAGATTTTGGTGTTGGGGGGGTTGGTTGCTTATCTTAGGCTCGCAAGTAGTATCCATTGTGACGTCTTTGTCTTCCGATGCCGCTACAAAAGTGAACGAAGGGCAAAATAGGGTTTAGGGTGTCGCGAGAAGAGTTTAAAAGTTTAAAAGTGGATTCTTGAGTTTCGATTGGGTTATGTGAGGTTCCGAAAGGCTTAGGCTTCAGGGTTTAGGGCTTAGGGGTCAGGGTTTTGGGTTTAGGCTCAGGCTTTGCTCGGAAGCTCTTTTGGCCGGAGGGGCTGGAGACATTACTGTAGGGGTTACAGAGGCTACGAGGTCAGGTCGGCATACAAAGTCACAACAGCTTCCAGGTATTTTCCGGAAGCATCTAGGAAATTTTCATGTGGGTAGTTACCGTTATAGGAGCCTTATAGAAGGTCTGTATACCTTATAGAAGCCCTATATACCCTAAACTCCCCACCTGTAGTTTCCTTTAAAAGAAAGCTTCCCCAAGTCTCATAAGAGCAGTCTGATGTTTGTTTTCCGCTGAGGGGCATTCTGCTCCGTGGAATGAGCGACTAAAAGGATGTTGGCCATCGTTGTGCATTTTTCCCCAGTATTAGTCCTTAGGTTCTCGGAACAGGAAACCCTCTGCAGGGGTGATTTTGCCATGCTAACCCATGACCGTAAACCAGTGGCGTTTTGCGCGTAGGCTGACTGTAGTGTTCTGCTGTTACTACAGCCCGGAACACCCTAAAGCTATCAAGCCCTACACCCAAGAAGAAAACCTAGGGAGCAGAAAGCCCATAATTGAAGACTCTTTCTCGAATCGGGTTTAGCTTCGACAAGAGGTTTTGTATCTTTGCGAGACCGCAGTGAAACCCCCTAAATCCCTTTCGGAACCCTTACAAACAGCTTACGACACCCTTCTTGGAGGTTCATGGGTAGTTATAAGTTGAGTTATAAGTCCCTTAATATAGGTTATTATAACTATAGTTACCCTACTTATAACCCTACTTATAACTACCCATGAACCTCCAAGTTATGAAAACATTTGCGTTGCCTTGTAAGGCCGCATTAACAGAAAGATCTCAAAACCGCCGACAAGCTGAACCTCGAGCAGTAGATTAAGTAGCCTTGAACCTTTTTTGGGGTTTAGGATTCAGATAACCCTTATATATCCCAAATGGTTAAACCCTAAACCGCTAGACCCCTAAACCCCTAAACCCTAACCCTTTAGCTCCCCCGGGTATATTCTACTATAGTTATAATAAGGAGCCCCTAAAACCCTATTCTAATTATTAAGGCCCCTATATTAACCTTTAGCTCCCCCGGGATAATGGACAATGCAGCGATTCCTCACAAACAACCCAGAGACTCCAATATCCCTCAATTAAGGAATATACCTTAAGTCATATTAGTGATCCTACTATAATTTGTATAAGGTATGATAGGGTTTAGGGTTTAGGGTTTCGGGACCCTAAACCCTAAACCCTATATTCCTTAATTAAGGGATATTGGAGTCTCTGGGAAAGGCCCGGCTTGAGCCCGGCGAGACGGTGACGGCCACGGTGCATCGATGCAGGCACCCTGTCGTTTAGAGGTTTTACGGCTGTTATATGTTTCTGGTGTGGGGTTTAGGGGTTTAGGGTTTAGGGGTTTTTAGGGGTTTAGGGTTCAGGGTATATTTCTATATATTTCTACATATGCATGTAATCACCGATGTTGTTTATAGGGGTTTGCTACTGTGCTCAGGGGGTCTAGCAAGGTTCGTGGGTGTTGGGTCTAGTGACCTAGTGGTCCAGGAGGATCCATGATTCCGTAGGTGAGGCTCTCCCGCTCTCACAGGCAGAATCGAAGTGTTTGGATCGATTCAAGGATCTTGACATGCCTACTTGGAGAATTACTGTGTGGGTAGCACTAAGATGAGCTACTAAACAAGTCACGCAGTCCCGGTGCTCGCTCCAGAAAGAGGTCTAGACAACTCCTGAAGCCCTACAACCCTGAACCCTTGAACCTCTTGCTCCTGACGCTTAACAATTGAAACCCCCAAGCCCCGTAACCCTAAATACTAAACCTCCAACCATAAACCCCAAACCCTAAACCCTAAACCCTGAACCCTATATCTCAATACCCCCATGAAAGCCGAAGGATCGTCTCCAACCGCCGGGCTTTTGCCTTCGCCCTGCTGCGTCGCGACGGCTCCGTCTGCACCTGGGGGGCCACGGATGGCGGAGGAGTAGCTCGGCGGCTACTATTGGGGCCTAGATAATTACCTAT